CGATATTCAGGTTCAGGTAGTTAACATGTGGTTTATCATAAGATAAGATGTCAAGGTGGAGGTCATGCTTCTCCTGCTTAGGTAAGATTTGTGGTTGTCGTAAGAGTTCAAAGAATAGGAGGGCTGGTGATATAAATTTTTCCGTATCTAATAATATTAACATTGGAGTAAGTACACAAAATAAGAAGGATGACTTAGCCTCTGAATCAAAATCTGAAAGTTACGGTCACCTAAAATTGCTTGAGGAAAAATCAGATATTAAATAGAAAATTTAATAAGAATAAAATAATAGAAAAAACGGGAGGGAGAAAGTGGTCTAGAAAAATTGATGAGAATACTGCAGGATTCTTGTTGATTTATAGTTGAAAATAAAAAAGTGATGATAGAGCCTAGATCAGTTAGTGGTCTAGAACCCTCATTCCCTATACTACTAAACATTCAATTAACATGCGCAGAAATCAGATTTTGTTGCAAGTTGCAGCAATTTTCGGTTGCCCATATTAGTATATTACTCCACCTTAATTGCTATTGTCAAATTCCGAATTTACTGAAAGAAAGTATTAAGTAAATTGAACACAATTCAAATATTATACACACATTTAATCACATACTGAACATCAGATATGACAAAAATACGTAAACGACTGTTACGTGCATTTTTCAATAAGCATAAACAGATTTAAGAAGTTACGAAGTATTTTAATGTGTCAAAAATAATTTGCACACTGAACAGACAGAACAGTACAAGGTCTTTAATATGTATACGAAACAAAATACATCACACGCCGAAATACAGACAGTACGAAAAACATTTAAGACAAGAACAGTTCTTGTTCAAGGACAGCATACATCAAAGACAAAGCATCAGGTTTACAGGCTGCGTATATACAATTTTCGTGAAGTTTGAGTTTCAAGGATAGTCCATGCAAAGATCTAAGGACGATGTTTTCCGGCGGAGTTTGAAAAAGATCAACATATATTTATTTAGTGATGATTGAATTACTTAAACAACGACATAATCGATCTCACATATATTGGTAATGACATTCAATTTGCTTTCAATATTCGACAAATATATCCCTAAGTAAAAAACCGCTAATATTCCACTGCCTAATTTAATCCTTGTGTAAACCGTGCTTGGCTTTCTATTTGCCTTAACTTACACATTCGACTAACCCGATTCCAATGACGTGGCCTTACAAACATTATGTAAGCAACGACATACTCGATTCTATATACCTATATGTTCGTCATTCGTCAACATTCCTTCGATATAGACTAACGTAAATATGTCCAATCGTCGCGCGCTATATCACTAATTACTATATTTTTCTAATACGTATAAAATGTTTGATCAAACTGATATGTCGTGTTTAAATATGACATTACACGATATAAAACAGACCCCTTGCGCTAATATTAATCCCAATGACCCTTGTACAAGCAGTGATTATAAAAACAACGACATATTCGATTCTATATGCGTTGGAAATGACTATCGACCTGACAAAACATATTACAATAAAGACTTTACTAAGAATTTATACACATCTCTGTACGGTATCAGCGTTAGTGAACTTAGCCTGTGGTCTATAGACGGTTCGTATTTCAAGGATAAAAGGAACCGCGCAGCAGGACACCGCGGACTTCGTGGCCACAGCGCCACAGAGCCACAGAGAAACGGAAGATCGAGCTTCAGTCTCTCACATAGTGGTTAGCTGCGCATGCGCGGCTACCCACAAAAATTATACGCATTGTTTATATAAATTAGCTAACATTTACACATTTATTACGATAGTAGCGACGTTTGATTTAGCCATGTAACAAAATAAACTCTAAGCATTCTGATCAGTTATTTAACAAAAATATCAAACTTGTGTCTTGTGAATTTTAATTCACAAACTTTTGAAATTTATTCTCAGCTATGGAGCTCATGAATATATTTTATTTCAAAGAAAAATATTGAAATTCGATTATTTATAAAATTGATATTTTTGTTAAAAATGTTAGCTAATTTATATAAACAATGCGTATAATTTTTTTATAGTATTCATCGATATTACAATTAAAATTATGCTTTTTCTTTCACTAACCCAGCATAGAAAATTCCTATTTTAGTATTTATTTCGCGTTAAGTAAAATCAAATCAAACTTCATAAATAACAATCTCATGTCGGTCATAAATTCGAATGTACATTTTTGTGTCGTATTTTGTTAATATGCCGTCGCCACAGAAAAATAGAACATATTGATAAAAATTCTAGGCCTATATAGGGGCAATGGAAATACGTGGAATGTTCTATTATACTTATAGTTTTTTAAATCAATCAACTAAATCAATCAACTGAATCAATGAAAGAATAATCGGTCTTTCTGAATTCTGATTTCTGGTATATTTTTGAAATATACAAGTTCGTGACATTTATATGAATCTGGTCAGACTGAATAAATGTGGCATAACATTAAAAAACAAAGCTCTCTCAGCGTGTCAGGAAAAGAACATTACGACTATATTTACAAAAAGGGTATTACTAGCTGTGGTAGTTTCTTTCATCTGAGATATGTTAGTCAGAAAGAAATTGTTTACTTTTAGCGCCTCTCAAGAAATATGTTAATTAGCTATAAATTATGCAAAAATCATTGATTATGGGCTCCAGAAAATCTTAACTCGCGCCAAATACAGATTGATACCCGCAGGTTTTTCTTCAGATCTTCTAAAAATAAGTATAAATCATTACAGCCAAACACATTTCAGCGTAATTTTAGGCCCCATTTGGAGATATCAGGCTTCGATTTTAGTGTAATTTTGTAGACCGAACAAGAAGCAAAAACCGGTGTGCCGTCAAGTTGCTGTCGTTTATTCACAATTTATTCAAATGCTCATATTTTTTGGAACAGGGAACCTGAATTGTATCTTAACTTGTTGTTCTAGTTGAAATTTGGAAATAGTCATCGTTTTGACACAGCGCGGCTCTACAATTTACCGAAATTCCACCTTCGATTTTGCTTGAACTTAGCTCTGCACGGGTAAAATGAGTTTCGGCGTCTAGTGAAGCCATAAAAAAGAATTTTCGAAAAATAAATTGATTTTGGACACTTGTATACCAATGCCTTTCAACACACAAAAATTAAAGGAAATCTATTTTCCGAAGTCAAAGTCATCGGATCGCTTTTAGCGGGACTGCCACTTATATCCGAAAATCTGTTGGGCCAATGGGTATTCCCAAGGACAAACTGATTACTGAGATTTTGGTAAAAGATAGGGTACAGTCCGGTCTGAGCATGCGCACATAGGAGTCTCCTGCCGTGCTATAATTAACTCTTCAAGTGGGTTTTTATTTCATTTTATGTTATTGCAAGCCTGATTGTTGTATCTTGATAATTTATTATACTGTAAAAGCATCGAATATATATTTTGAATACCGAAATGTAAACCTGTGCTTTGTTTACAGTACATACGGACAGTACTCTACCTTTAAATTTGGATAAAAATTGGATTAGAAATTTGCAAAAGTTTGCATTAGTTTCTCAGGCAGAGTCAACTGAATGCGCAATTAGCCCATTGCATGACTTATACGCAATTAGCCCATTGCATGACGGAGGCATGTATGAGTGAGAAAGCTGCAGATTGATGTGGACCCAGGGTATTCCCTTTGTGAATAAATTTAAAACAGATGCAATGAAATGGAATATAGAATTAATTTAGCCGCCTCGTCCCCAGGTGCTAATAAAAAAAATCATGCGAGTCACTATATGAGAGGTTCACACGAAGTATGCATCGTGACGAACAAGCGCAGGGAATTATGGGCATAAGGCATCGAAAATTGAAGAGTGCCTGGGAGGACTTGTGCCGTTTGTTGTAAAATTCGTCTGTTTCTTGCAAATCGTTTTTCGACAGTTTGGGACATTTTTCGCCATTTTGTTTGAGGAAGCAACATTTCAAATTGTTCAATTAAACATGTGATTACAGTCAGATGATATTTGATATCATTTAACGCTTTGAATGATTCCGAAATGTCAACACTTGAAGAGTTCAACGAAGCTGTAGAAGCCGGTTTATATAATAAATTTACAAGGTACGGAAAAATGACAATGCATTTTTATCACAATGCACAATGTTTTTTAAACAAGGGAGCGATGAAACTCTATTTAGTATTGCAATTGCAACTTTCGTCTCAGGATTTCAATTATGAGCTTATTTACATGCAGTATGTTTGATTTTCACGATGCAAACGATCAACAATATTTTGAATAATTCAGGTAGGGATAGCTTTAATTCTTGCTGGTGATACATGAAGGGATTTATATTCAGATCTGTTGTTTACTTGTATGTTTGAAAGCTATTACACAAGATCGGCCAGGCGCTAACCAGAATGCCCATATACCCTCCCCTTTGCGCGCCTATGATGTGATGCACTACTTCTTGTAAACCTTCATATGGTGACTCGCATGAAATTTTTTTATTAGCACCTGGGGACGAAGCAGGCAATTTGGTATGGTGTCGTGTGGTTTGATGTGGTGGGGATATTGTGACCTGTAGTGCAATTTAATGTAATGCATGCAATATAATGAAAAGTGTTGAAAGTGATCAATATCAACTCTATTGACAAAATGGAGTCATTTTATTGTGGTGAAAAACCTGTTTGCTACTAAATATGCTCTACTAATTGAATGTTATAATATTTCCGACTTACAGGACTCTACTGCATAAGTGCAACTATAATAGCTGTCAATGACATATGGACATGCAAAAGACTTTTAATTTTGTACTTATATTATTATTATAATCAGTACATCTCTTTGATTAAGTAATAACCTCCCAACCACCAGTTTGTTGTCGAATCAGAACCAGCTGTGCATCTGAACTTGCTATTGGTAGAAGCGTACCAACCAAAGTTATCTTCAGAAACAACTGAACCAGGAGCTGCATTAAAGTCACATTTCACTCTGGCACGACTGTCGACATGTATCATTTCTCGTGCTGGACTTGTGTACCACACCAAAGTGCAATGTAAACTTCATGGCCCCGAATATTCACGAATTCAATCGTTTTACAAACATTGTAGTTGCGAAAGGTCATTACGTCAAAATCCTTAAATGTTGTACGCCAGTAGTTGGTGTAGATGTGTTTTGCATCTTGTGGAATGCTGCAGGCCACTCGCCAATGCGTTGATTGTTGTTTGCAATGATTCATTTGGGAGTTGGACATTCGATATCGGTACCAGTTTGGTGTGTTCTCGTTAACTGGTGCGTTTTCGGAGAAATAATGTCCCATAACCTGTTGCATTTTTCTGTTCTCGAAGGAGAATGACTCAACGAGTATCCATGCTGACCCAGGCTCGAATTCAAAATCACAATATAATTTTATATATCTGACTTTTGATTGCCTGGACCAATTATGATGAAACAAACACCAAAGATTTTAGATGGCGACCTCTGGCAAGCGAGCGTTAGTGTATAATTTGGACAGCTCCGTGTAAATTTAATCCCCGAGCGGACGGCGTGAAGCGCCGTGCGAGGGCACTAATCCCCCCGCCTATTTACATTTACACCCGGAGAAACGAAAGCATTACCGAAGTCTAAAGTTCATCAATTATCGCGGGCGTGGGTGACCAACGATGTTGGGTGACCAACGATGTTGGGTGTTGGGTGGGTGGTCATCCTCACTGATCTCAAAAATATGGCGGACAGTCATGAATAGCGGACACTGATTGGTCCAATTTAAAGTTTGAATTATAACGACTGCATGACGACAGCGAAATAGCAAACATTTCTTGATTTGATGATTGATAAATTTCTCGCAAATATATTTCATTTTTGCTCACATATTTGCAAGATTTTGTAATTTTCAAAAGCCCTCTCAGAACGAAATTGCGAAAGAATCAGCTAAAAGAAGAGAGCCGACGTTAACGAAAGTACGTTTGTTTTAAATATTGATTTTATAGTGGCTTTAAAACCCGACGGCCTTTGCGTATATGAAACAACTAAATAAGACAGCATGTAATTTCAGTGTATCTTTAATATTGATTCCCTTTTTTATGATATTGAATTTTTTAAATAAAAAAGAAAGCAAAGTTATTTGCAAGCGAGAATTTAAAATCATTTTATTGCAACACTCAAAGATTATCAATAAAGCCATTTTAAAAGGCAGTTTCGTTTTATAAAGAACACTAGTGACTTCAAAACGTTTTGGGAAGCGTTTGTGGTTGAATTTTACCTTAATTAAATTCAGGCTTATATTACGTATAATAACATACGTAACATATATATGTTGGGAAATTGATAATTTTGTAATTAAAAGTGATATTTTTAGGCGATTTTTCATTTGTAAAAATATTCTTAAAAAATTATCGTGTTACCATGACAACAACTTTAGATACTTCATGTTCGGAAAATACAATGGTTTTGTCAGCAAGGCGAGAGTTTTTGCATGCATGCATGTATTTTGTAGTAGAAATTTTAATGTGTTCTCTTACTATATCATGTAAACAAAAACCCGTGAGTACTTAACAAGATTATATATATATATACATGATCATCCGCTGCACCAGAATATTTTGCGTTGAAAGTCATCAGAAGTAGTAAATTCAATTTCATGTTGAATATCATGCCACGAGAATTTAAGTTGCTGGAGTTCTGCGCAGTGGCACTTAACCCAGAATGTGAACACAAACGTTGCTCAATCAAAATTTATTATCATTGTCCCCGAGCCGACGGCGCGAAGCGCCGTGCGAGGGTATTAATTCCATCCGGCTATTTACACCCGGGGAAACGAAAGCATTAGCGAAGTCTAAAGTTCATCAATTATCGCGGGCGTGGGCGACCAATGACGTTGGGGTTGGTGGTCATCCTCACTGATCTGAAAAATATGGCGGACTGTCATGAAGAGCGAACACTGATTGATCCAATTTAAAGTTTGCGTTATAACGACTACATGACGACAGCGAAATAGCAAACATTTCTTGATTTGATGATTGATAAATTTCTTGCAAATATATTTCATTGTTGCTTGCATTTTTGCAAGATTTTCTAAATTTCCGAAGCTTTCTCAGAAAGAAAGGTCGAAAGAATCAGCTAAAAGAAGGGAGCCGACTTTAACGAAGGTAAGTTTGTTTTAAATATTGATTTCGTAAATATAATTGCTTTAAAACCCGACGGCCTTTGGCACTTTGCGTATATGAAACAACTAAACAAGACAGCACAATATAATTTCAGTGTATTAATAATATTGATTTCCTTTTTTATGATATAGAATTTTTTAAATAAAAAAGAAAGCAAAGTTATTTGCTTGCGAGAATTTGAAATCTTTTAATTGCAGACTCAAAGTTTATCGATAAAGCCATTTAAGGTTACAGAACACCTTTGAGTGTCAATTTTGCCTAAAATTTTTTTGTTGGTTTCAATGAAAGCATTAGACTAGTTCTACTATCCGACCAAGTTAGAACGAAAAATGTTGAAAACTCGCACAGTTATTTAGTAAAATACATTTGGCTGCAATAAGAAAAACGTTGAAAATGTAATATTCAAATTCAATTTTCTCACGAAAATTTTTTCTGTAATTACTGATTTTCAAACGATTCCAATTTTTCTCAAATTTTCACAGGACATAGCTAAATACATCGGTTTCAAAATTGTGTTCGGCTTTTATTTAATTTTGGATATTTTAAAAATAAAGAGCAATTCACTCAAACAAATCAGAAATATATTGCAGTCGTCAAAGAAATCGCCATATTAGCGGATTGACGAAATAAACAAAAATTTCCGAACACAATTTTTTAGAACAACTATTTTACTGTATAAAAATGATATTTTCATAAATATAACTTAAAACCAGCAGGAGCACAACTCAAAAGCGTAAAGGTACCACGATTTAAGATTTTCCGGAATAACTCTTACATTATTTTATTGTTTGTCAATTTTACAACTTTACCATATTTTGCATGCACTGGAGAACATTTGGTGAAAATTTGATGAAAATCGGACAGATATTGAGCGCGCAGTAGCGATTTTCCGCAAAACGCCAAAAAGGGTGTCTTGTAACCTTAATTATTAAAAGGCAGTTTAGTTTTATAAAGAACACTTTAAAACGTTTTGCAAAGCGTTTTTGGTTGAATTTTACCTTAAATTGAAGCTTATATTACGTAGAATAATATACCTAACATATATATGTTGGGAAATTGATAATTTTGTAATTAAAAGTGATATTTTTAGGCGATTTGTAAGAATATTCCTAAAAAATTATAGTGTTACCATGACGACTACTTTAGAATGACTTCGTGTTCGGAAAATACAATGGTTTTGTCAGCAAGGCGAGGGGTTGCTGCATGCATGTATTTTCTAGTATAGCTTTCAGCTGAAGCGGAAGACTGGCAGCAAAATAATTGTAGGACAACTCATTGGATGCCGAATTTCGTATGGATAATAGAGAGTGATAGATAGAAAGATTCAGATGTCATTTGAATTTCCTAAGCAGATCGACGGTCTCTGATTTACTAGTAATATATAATAATGCAATTTAGTATTATAAAAGTTGCTCTTTCAGGGAAATTGGTGTCATCCTCATAAAGCATTTCAAAAAGTTGTCGGACATGTGAAAATGTAATTATACGTATAGACTGACGGGTATAAAGCTTCGTATTGATAGGGATACTACTGCTACCCGAAAACTAGAAGGGGAACTGAATTTCTCTTTGTATTTTTCAGGTAGTTGCTTTCCTACAATAAACTGGGGATGTCTTATTAATGGCACTTCATGCCTGCATGTACACTGGGAGGAATCGTTCAAGAATTATGGTTATACCTACTGTATAATTATGGATATTCGAGGTGGTATATGTCCATATTTCGTCATACAAATTAATGATTTATTCATATAATCAGTTGCTTGGAGATTAAAATGATCTATGATTGTTGTACTGTGTTCGATTTATTCAAACACTAAAATACAGTCAACAAAAAGCCTGAATTCAGTGTCAATGAAGTTTAGTTGCAACTTATTATTTTCGCGTCCATACACGTTCTTTTATACGATACATCTGATGCTTCTCGGCGCATTCTTTCATTCATGCTGTTCACGAGGGGTTATAGAACTGGATCTTGATTAATGAAGAGAATGGAATAGCGCAACGCTTCATGTTGTTAATTTCAATACTGTAACGAAGTTTCCACATGAGAAGTACATGCGTGGACATTGATATGTTCTTAAGAGGAACTTTATAAAATTATTGATATTGTACAAGGAGCGATTTTCCTTCACGCGCAACTGGAGTGTGAACGGAGGAAACATAGCGTGCAGTGTCGGAACAGTGTCGTATTACAGCCGAATATTTAATATTCACATCAGTCGAAGATAATAAAGGGGAGACAGATATCGAGGGATAAAATTTAAATAAAATATTTGTTTTAGATTTTAGAGATCAATCGTTTAATTAATGTGCTGTTGATCACAATGGAATAAAATAAGGATCTTTAGCAGCAGCTACAAGGGGAGTCTATTTTGTTGCGGGTAAAATGCGCTGGTCATTCAAAATGGCGTAATTTTTCCGGGAAGTAATTGCCGGTATCGCCGGTAGGAAGTTGTCTCAAATTTAGAGGAAGTTTAGAGGAAAACAACATGGCAGCCATTTCTGCCATCTTATAACCAGTTTCCGATAACCAATACAATATTCGATTTTATTTCCTGTCACAAATGACAATTGGACTTACTGTGAAAGCTTATTATTAATTATGATCTATTTGACAATTTTAGCCTTCCCAACAACAAGGTGTATTATTTACATCCTACCAATAGATTACTTTGGCTATTTACAAATAATTAACAACCTAAGATCTAGGTCCTGTTAATTAACGATCACTAAAGTCTGCGTATATATCATAATAAACAGGTTTGAAAACGCACAATTTGTTTGTAAGACACTGCTCATAGTCAATGTTATCATACCTGTCTTCAACTAAAAGAAGTTTAATTATTTCCCGGAAAATATACCAAAATCGTAAGAATGTTTCATATATATAAATATGGCTATAGTGATTGCTAATGCATGCTCTTTAATATGTTATTGCAATCGGTTACTATTAAGCAAGGTCTTGCGCACATACTTTCTATTGTTTATAAAAACTTCACTTTCGGGAGAATGTTTCAGACTTAAAAATAGTTGCTGCAGAACTATAATAATAAAGCTAGTTAAAAGAATTTACCATCTAAAAAATAATATCGCAAAACATCAAAGCTTTCAGGGTGTGTGGTTCACCAGATGGTGAAATTCGTGGAATGTAATGCATTTGAAT